CCCCAAAACCCCAAAACCCCAAAACCCCAAAACCCCTAAGGGTTATACCCAGATTGAAGTTATCGAGTAGAAGTTAGACACTGAGGGTCAGAGAACTCTAGAGTCAATTTTAGACAGAAAGGATATGGCGTAAGTAGAGTGGGGGTTAGGGTAGGAATTTATTCATTTAGAGCAAATAGTTTGACTTCTTTGGCTCTGTTGATGACCATTGAGTTTAATTGAGTTGATTCTTTGTGGATTGCTTGTAAATAACTATAATCATTTCTTTGGGCAAGAGCGAATCTTTGTGTGGTATTGTGCTGACTAGTCTTAACTTCATCTAAGGAAAAGTAGTATTGCTGGGGAGGGTTTTGAAATGAACCTTTTCTTTCAATATCCCTATTAGAACTGTCAAGGATTCAAACTGTATTGAAATCTGCTGTTGGCATTAAGGACTTCCTTAATGAAACAACTGGTTTCTTTTCTGATTGGTCCATAAAGGAAATTATATTAGAAACGTTTGGCGATTCTAGTAGGCTTAGGCATGAATAATAATCATCTTCATCAATATTACAAGGAGGAGGTTCAATCTTCTCTCACTGCTTCCTGATCAACTTCTCCAATACAGTTCCTGATATTTCAGAGAGGCTACATCCTATTAGGAATCAAAAGAGGTTATTTTAGAACTTTCTCAGGAGAGTTTGTAAGATCTTTGTATTGAATATAATATGTTAATCATTCTCTTTTTGGGTTAATCCAATAATTGTAAAACCGTGCCCACTTATCAAAACTCTCTTCATCAAGATGGTCATCTTTATCAAATCTTTCTATAACCTGATGGAGTTAAGCTCTAGAGTGTCTATATAAATTGTTTATTAATCAGAATGAAGAAGAATTAGCACTGCTTTTGAGCTGATATTTACCTGTGAAGACTACCTTTTTCTTACTTTCTACCAACGTTTCAATAGGGTCCCTTATTAACACAACAGCTTTATTAACCTTAAATCTCTTCGCTCTCTGGAGTGGAAAATGGGTATTTACAACCCAAACTTTGTTTAATGTCGGATTTAATTTGTACTCCTGCTGGCAATCGTCAGCTATGAATATTTTAGTAATTTCTTCCAAGTAACTCCTCAGCAAGGATTCTCCAGAGCCAGGATAACTCACTAAAGCAACCTTGGAGAAATTCGACTTAACTACTCTGATGTTTGTTGGCAATAATTTTAGTTCAGAGCCAAGCAAATAATGGCTCTCTGGTTTTTCTAAGAAGGTCTTTGGAGACATTAGAAATTTAGGAGGGTGAGTTTTCAGAGTAGTTCAAAAATATTTCAACCCCTCTAGAGGAGATTGATCACCATCATCCAAATCTGAATTGCTTCTTGGTGTACAGACAGGGCTTGCCGCATTTATCATCATACCTGTATCAGTGACTATGGAGAATCCTGCTTTATGAGAAGTTCGATGTTGAGAAATATTGTCACTATTTGAAGCGAAATTTCTGCTATAATTTGTAGCAGTATCTTTAACAATAACTATATTTATAAAGAAAGCATACTAGGTTTATCTGTGGTTTTAATGCTAATTTCCTTCTCATCTTCACTGCTATTTTCATCAGTTTGGAAGCACTTGAAAATATATTGTCCCAAGAATTTTCCCATTTTTGAAGTTTTTTTCTTTTCCATTGAGATATTTTTAATATATTCTCAATATTTAGAGAATTTGAGGGGTTTTGGGGTTTTGGGGTTTTGGGGTTTTGGG